CAGCAATTTAGGAATGGTTGAACCAGTGATGGTATATGAATGTAATGAAATATTATGACACTATAAGGAATGCTGAAAGGGACAGTTTCAGAGAATGAACCAATGAAGTGGAGTGAGCAGAATTAGGACAACAATTCATATAATAATAACAACAGTGTAAAGAAAAACAACTTTGAAAGACTTAAGAACTCTGAGGGATGCAATGACCAACCAGGATTCCAGAGAACCAGTGATAAAGCCAGCTACTCACATCCTGAAGGAGAGATGATGAACTCAAGGTGCAGAATAAAGAATATATTTTTGGACATAGCCAGTATAGGAATTTGTTTTGCTTAACTATGCATATTTGTTACCAGAATTTTCTTTTTCTTTTTAAATGGGGGAGGGGTGGTAGGAGGGAGAAGAGAGCCATAGCTAGGGTTGCCAAAAAAAAAAAAAAGAAAGGAAAAAAACTACAACAAAGAAAAGAAGATGACTGGGATATCTTTTTAAAATGCACCAAAAAAAGAAAAAAGAGGGCCAGGAGGAAATATAGACATGCACTACAAAAATTCCATAAATATTTTAAAATATAGGCCCCTTTTCTTCTTTTTTTTTAATCTCCTTGGAGTACAGGTCTTGTGGTGCTATCACTGGGACAAAGGATTTATGCACAGTTTAGCATCTTTGGGAGCAGAGTTCCAAACTGTTTTCCAGAATGGCTGGACCAATTCATAGTTCCACCAACAATGCAATAGTGTGCCTGTTTTTTCACAGTCTCTCCAGCAATCGTCATTTCCCTTTTCTGTCACCTTTGTCAATCTCATGGGTAGAACCTCAAAGTTTTCATTAATGTTATAGAACATTTTTTCCCACATGATTGTTGATAGCTTGGATTTCTACATTTGAAAAACTGTCTATTCATATTCTTTGATCAAAACATTCATAGGAGAATGGCTCTGCCTCAGAAGCTTAAGCAGGGGAATAAAATGGTCTGCCTTAGTTTCCTCATCTGTAAAATGGGGATAATAATAGCAGCTACCTTCCAGGATTGTTGTGAGGATCAAATGAGATAAATTTGTAAAGTGCTTTGCAAACCCTAAAGCACGACACGAATGCCAGCTATTGCTGTTATCATTATGAATATCAGCTAGGTAGCCATAAGGATGATTGGTTAGAGAGTGGATAGGCTGGATGCAGGGAAAAAAATCAGGAGACTGTTGCAATCATCCACATAGAGATGATTGGCATGAACCAGGGTGGTGGTGGTGTTAGTAGAGAGGAAATAGAATCCACAAGATTTCACAGCTTATCAACTGTGGAAAGGGGTGAGGGTCAGTGTTGTTTAAATGAGCATAAAGAGTTAAGAATGTTGTTTTTTGTGGGCTGTGTATTTGGGGGACTAGATTTGTGTTGTCCTCTGCAGAAATGAGAAAGTCAGGAGGAGGGGCAGGTTTAAGAGAGAAAAAAGCTTCGTGGTTCTGTTTAGAACATGTTGAGTTTAAGACACCTATGGGACATATCAGAGGAAATGCAGGGCTGGAGCTCAGGAAAGAGATAAGGGCTGGATGGGTAGACTAGGGAGGTATCTGCATAGATCTATGAGCTAAAACCATGGGAGCTGATGGGATCACTAAGAGATAACACTCAGAAGAGAAGAAGGCCCAGGAGAGAGCCCTAGAGTATCCCCATACAACAGGGGCAGGAAGTAAATAACAACAATTGACATTTACATGAAACTTAAAGTTTACTCATCACTTTATGTGCATGATCTCCTTTCAGCCTTCACAACAACCCTGTGAAGTAAGTTCTACAAGTCTCATTCCCTCCATTTTACAAATGTGGAATCTGAAGCCTAGAGAGGTCACACAGCTGTTAAGTGTCAGAGGTAGGTTTTGGACCAGGTTCTTCCTGGCCTCAGGTTCACTATAATAGCCACCATGCCTCTCCAGAAAACAAAATACCAAGAAACACAGGGTAATTTCAAGAAGAAAAGAATACTAATAGATGGGAAAAATTAATTCCTCAGACAGGGCTTGTATTAAAACAGGGGTTCTCAAACTTTCAGGTCTCGGGTCCCCTTCATACTCTTGAAAATTACTGAGGAATTCAAAGAGTTTTTGTTTATATAGGTTATATCTACATATTTACCACATGAGATACTTACTATAAGAGAAATAAAACATCTTACCATTAGGAAAATAGCTTTGACTTCATGGACACCCTGAAAGGGGGGACACCTCCTAGGGTCCATTGTCCATACTTCGAAAACCACTGTATTAAAGTTATGACTAAGTTCCCAAGATTCTCCACCTGAGGTCAAAAATGGAGTTATTGGCAGAGCTAGTGGCTAGAATCCAGTTCTCTTGACTTGACAAGTTCTCTTGTCTAGGGTTTTTTCCATGCAAATAATTTCAGACAAGTCTGCCATAAATATTGGCTAATATTTGCTAGATACAGGATGAGGATATTTCAACAGAATTGGGAGTGGGATAGGTTAGAAGATCGAGGTGACCCAACACATTCTTACCAACCCTTGGATACCTCACCACCACCCCCTCATCATTAGCCCCTCCTAAGAAATTTAGGTCTTTTTAAAAACAGAGGTCTCCAGGAACCTTCCTGAGCTGGCACCTGATACTGATGCAGGAGATGCCACGAATATCTGAAGTCTAATGTTCACTTCCATGGACCACTGCTCCTGCCCCCTTTCTCTGTCACTGCCATCCACTAAAAACCTTCTTCCTCTGCTAAGGAACAAGTACCACGGCCCCTGACCCATCTTGGCTAAACTCGGCTGCCAGCACTGCCTGTTCTGGGCTATCCTCGGTCCTGCCAGCCCTTCCACACTCCCTGGACTGCCCAGCTACCACATCCTCAACTAAACAAAGCCAGGAAAGGAAGGTCAGGGCCCAGGTGATTAGGTAGCAAGGAGAAGGAAATGTAATTCCTACCTCCCCTCTCCAAACTCCCCACCAAGGAACACGGCAGGAATGACCTTCCCAAGAACTTCTGAAAAACAGGAGAACAAATCCTCCCTTCCCGTGAGGAGTCCCCTGGAAGCAGTGTGGTACCTAAACAGGGAGCCAAGAAAACCGGGTTCTAATCCCAGCCGAATTCATGATGTAACCCAGGAGGCAGTGAGAAATGAAGGAAATTGCCCATTACCTCACCTCTCAAATGTGGATTAATAACTCCTATCCTACAGAGGTGTTATGAGGATCATAAATACACCCTGGAAGTTATGTAAAGGGCTAAGCAAGGAGTTATTTTCAACATCACTGGAATAAGACAGAGCCAGGACCCTGAAGAGGGAGCAGGGGTATATCCCCACTCAAAGTGTGGGTTCTTCCATCACTAAAATCAGCAACTGGACCACAGTGAACTCCACCTTCACCCCCATCCCCACCACCCCTAAGCCAAGGGACTTGAGAGAATTCACTCCAGAATTTATTAAAGGCTTAAGACAGGCTCTGGGATAGACACAAAGATTTTTAAGAGAGCCAGTTCTTGCCCTCAAGGATCTTACAGTCTACCAGGGAGGGGGTAGGGAGGAAGGACAACATGGTCACAGGTAAGTTGACTCCAAACATATAGAAAGTAAGTACAAAATAATTTTAAAGGTAAAGGAAAACACTAACAAGAGGTGGGGAGAGGGAAGGTCTCCTGTAAGTGATGGCATTTAAGCTAAGTCTTAAAGTAAATTAGGGATTCTAAGAGGCTGAAGTGAGTCCACAGAGTATTGCAGGAGTTGGGGGGAGGGGGGAAGCCTGGGCAAAGCCAAAGAGTGATATTATATGGGGAATACCAAGGAGGCCAGGGTGAAGTGGATGCCACAGAATTCAGACTTTGCTCCCCAGCTGAGGGGTCTTGGGAAAGAATGAAAGAGAGCAGAGATTATCACCTTTTCCTTTCCCATCAAACATCCCACCTCCACTCCACAGGCCCCCAGGAAGTTGGATAAATCCATCACTGTCATTTGTACAATCTGACCCAAGGTGCCTATACCTGCCTTTAATATCACGGGCCTCTATTAGGTGAGGAGTATGGAGCTGTCACTGAGCAAGCCAACTCCCAACTCAGTGTCAGTATCCCCCAGCTGTAAAATGAATGATGATAATAATAATAATTAGCATTTCTACAGCTATATTTAGGTTGGCAAAGGGCTTCACAAACATTATCTCATTTGATCCTAATGACAACCTCGTGCTATTTATTATCCCCATTTTACAAGATGAAGTGAGGGCACTGAGGCAAAGAGACTTGCCCAGGGTCACACTGCTAGCGTCCGAGGACTCCAAGCCCTCTGCTTTATCCACCGTGCCACCTAGATTGGACTCACTAACTCTAGAATTTCTTCTGCTTCTGACAGTCTTGGGCTCTGTGAGCTTGCAAAGGTACAAAACATTCACTAGAAATAATCGGACCTGAGTTAAAAATGCTGGCTCTATTGTGACCTCAGGTGGGATGTCACTGAGCCTCTGTTCTCTCATCTGTAAAATGAGGAGATGGGAAATGCTCTCTGAGATCCTTCCAACTCTCAATCTATGATCTTATAATTCCTCCTCTCTTTGAGTGTCCACAGGCAAAGATCCAAGTAATTTGAAATGCCCAGGCACCCTTCAGTCTCTGGAAGCACAGCTCCACCTACCACCTGGAGGGAGCGACAGTGGCCCTGGCCTCGTCTACCCCATCATCTGACCCCTTTCTCTCCCCTCTCGGTCACCACACCCAGACCTGGGTTATTTTCGCCCACTGAAATTGGCAGATCCCGTAATAGCTAAAGCTTCCACGCGGGCGCAGGCTCGGAGGGCTGCCAAGGTAGCCAAGGATGTCTCTCTGCAATAGAGTAAGGGGATGCGGAGGGGCCCGTCTCCTGCCCGGAGACCCCCAACCCCTCCCGGGGTGCGGCACAGCTCAGGGCAGCGCAGCGAAGCCAAAAACCCAGCGCTCCGTGGGCACGCGCGCGCGCACCGCCCCCGCCCTTCTGCAGCCGCCCCCGGCCTCCGCCCGCCGCTCACCATCTGCGCGTACACGTGGGCCGGGATGTGACGCCCCGAGATCTTGATCACCCCCGTGAGCATGAAGAAGATCCCGAACAGCAAACGCAGACCGCAGAATATGATCTCCATGGCCGCGCGCGCCGGCCCGGGGCGACCCGAGCGAAGGGAGCGACCCCAGTCCAGCTGGGGGACTGCCCGCCCCCGGCCCTGCCCCTACCCTATCCTCCCAGCCCCCCTACCCCCCACTCCCCACCCCCAGGGCCCCGCCTCCGCACCGGGGCCACGCCCTTTGCTTCCCTTTCTGGCGCTGGGCACTCGGTAGCGTCTGAGTCCCTGGGCCCAAATTGAAGTAGAGGAAGGAAAGAGGGCCGTGCCTGTCCCCATTTCACAGGGGAAGAAACCAGGACCTCAGTGGCCAAGTCTGGGACCAGAGGCGCCCCGCTTCCAAACTGCTGCCCAGCAGTGCCCTCCACGGAGAGAAGAGGATGAAGCCCACTCTCGTCCCAGCCCTGAGCTGAAGTATAGACACAGCTCCTTCTGTGGCTCAGAGGGAGATCCCAAAGGGTCTAGTGACAGCGAGTATTTGGTGGGATCAAGGAAATTCGAGATAATCTTCCCGTAGGTGACCTCGGGCCAATCACATCCCCATTCCGCACCGTTTCCTCTTGTGTAAAACGCACTGTGTGATTCCTAAGTGCCCTTCAAGCACTTCAACCTCTCTGCTCTGACATTCTGTTCTAAGAGCTCTGTCATCTTGGACATTCTGTGTTCCAAGGCACCTCCATCTCTGACATTCTGTGGTCTAAGGCCCCCTCCATCTCTACATTCTATATTCTAAGGCTCCCTCCCAGCTCTCACATACTAAGTTCTAAGGCCCCCTCCATCTCTGACATTCTGTGTTCTAAAGTCCCTCCCAGCTCTGACATACTAGGTTCTAAGGCCCCCTCCATCTCTGACATTCTGTGTTCTAAGGCTCCCTCCCAGCTCTGACATATTAGTTTCTAAGGCTCCTTCCATCTCTGACATTCTGTGTTCTTAGGGCTCTCCCAGCTCTGACATTCTTTGTTCTGAAAGCCCTCCCAGTTCTGAAATACTGTATTCTAAGATCCCTTCCATCTCTGACATTCTATGTTTCAAGAACCCTTTCAGCTCAGACCTTCTATGAGCTAAGATCCCTCCCACCTCTCACATTCTGTGTTCGAAGGTCCCTCCCAGAGCTGACATTCTGTGATTAAAAATAGAGATAATAATCCTTGTCCTGCCTCTCAAGGCTGTGGTGCGGAAAGCACTTTGTAAACTGTTAAATGGAAATGTTTATTTTTATTCTTTTGTCTTTGCCTGAAATACCCTGATTTTCCCTTAGTTTCTCCTCTGGGTAATTAGGGAGGGGAGTGTGTTTGGGGCCTGAGATAGCCATCCCTTTTTTTTTTTTCTTCCTTTAGCTCCCTCTTGGCTTGAACTTTCTTGACTGCACTGCTTTTGGAGGACCTGCCACCCCCACCCCAGCCCGACCCAGCAGCCTCCTGAGCCTCTAGGTAGGATACAGACCATGGAGAGGGAGCCTCAGCCAAGATCAGGTAGCCAGCCAAGAGGCAGGGATCTGTCTTTTCCCTTCCTGGTGTTAGGCAATCCCTCTCAGCCAGGGACTGAGGGAGGCTGATTTTGTTTTGGGGGCTTCAGATGCTCAGCAGTAGCTCTGATTCCAAACGCAAGGGGCGGGAAGCAGGAGACCCGGCTTTGGAAGAGCTATCCGAAGGCAGTGATTTCCCCAGGAGCTACAAAGGGCCAAGCGCTGCAGACCCAGCAGCCCCAGCTCTGTGCCCGGTTCTTATTTAGTAGTCTCCTCTCCTCCTGGGCTTTTCAGTCCTGGCAACCTTGGCTCTTCTCATCTGCAACAGGGAGAGGAAATGATGAGTCACACATTGCCTGTCTCCATGGAAGGCCCCCCCCCCCCCCCCCCCCCCCCCCCCCAAAAACCCCAATCACGTGTAACATCTTGCATCGAGGCAGCTGAGAGAGAGAGAGAGAGAGGGTTTGGAAAATTTATTTTGGGTGATAACTGCTGATTACCAAACTGAGGCAAATGAAACTTTCCAATGTTCTTGCTTTCTCTCTGGGTCTGCCTCCCGAGTGTCTCTGCCTCCTCTTTCTTCACCCCCGCCTCAGAATCCTTCCCTTCCTTCAAGCCTCTCCTACACAGAAAACCTTTCTTGATCCCCTCTTCGGGTTGTTAATGTTCACTCCCTCCTCAAATTATCATGTGTATACTTGTCTGCTTTCATGTTGTATCCTACCGGCCCACTCTCACCCCCAACCCCAGAAGAAATGCAAGCATCTCGGAGGGCAGATCCTTTCCTTCATTAGGTCTTTGCATCCCCATCACCCAAAGTAGTATCTTGCATGTAGTGAGCAATTAATACAGGCTTTCTGGCTGGGGTTGCATCGGATTTATCTCTCGTTCTCTATATCTCTCCAGGTTGCTGTCCCTCTCTGTCTTTTGATGCCTCTGTTTCTCTTGGGGACTCAGTCTCTTATTGTCTGTACCTCTGAGTCTCCCTCTTGTTATCCCCCATCATTGTCTCCCCATGTCTGTGTCTCTGCCTCTCATGGTTTTTGTCTCTCACTGCCTGGGTCTTCCTCTCAGGGTCTCTGTCTCTCAGTCTCCCTCTTGGCATCTCTGTCTCTCAGGGTCTCTGTCTCAGTGTCTCTCACTGCCTGGGTCTTCCTCTCAGAGTCTCTGTCTCTCACTGTCTGCCTATCTCAGGTCCTCCGCCCAGCTCTCACTCCCCATTGTCTCCAAGCCCCTGACTGAAGAACCTAAAATTCCTCAGTGCAGGATAATCACCTGCCCCCACTTGTAAGGGGGTGATTGCGGTCTCTTCCCGGGGCCCAGCTCACCTCTGAAGCTGCTGCTCTGGCGTTTCCATGGTATTCCATGTTTGCGGAGGGCTTCTTCGTCCTCCCTGCAGGGCTTGTAGGCAGGCCCTGGGGTCTGGCTGTCTGTCTGGCTGTCTGGCTGAGGAAAACATGATTTCTTAGGGCTTTCATCATGGAAAACTTGATGATACCAGCTGGGGCTGGGGAAGGGAGAACCCTGTGTCTGAGCAGCCTTCACTTAGAGGGCTAGTCACTCCCTCTTCCATTTGCACATGATACCGTTTCCCACAAATCTCAATTCTTACCCACTTTCGAGATAGGGAAACAAGGCCGAGGAAGAATGCATGGCAAGAAGGTATCTAGAAAAGACTACTAGAGGGGCAGCTATGTGTCACAGTGGATAGAGCACTGGCCCTGGAGTCAGGAGGACCTGAGTTCAAATCCAGCCTCAGACATGTACTAGGCTGTGTGACCCTGGGCAAGTCACTTAATCACAGTTGCCTTCAAAAAGAAAATAAGAAAAGACTGCTAGACTTGGAGTCAGAATACCTGGGCTCAGGTCCTGTCTCTGCAAGTCACTTCCCCTTCATCTGTAAAACTAAAGCAAACACAGGTGCTCTAGCTTCAAATCCAATACTCTTTCCACCACTCAGGTTCCACATCCTCCAAGAGGCCTTTAGAGTCTGCCATTAGAGTTCTCTCCTTCTTTAAAAACATTTTACATATGATTCATGTATACCTGTACATGTTGTATCTCCTCAGTGGAATGGAACCTTCTGAGGCAGTCAGGTAGACAGTGAAATGAAAAGAAAGCCTGGCCTAGAGTCAAGAAGATGGGAGTTCAAATCCTGCCACAGACACTTACTAGTTGTATGACCCTGGGCAAGTCACTTAACCGATATCTGCCTCAGTTCCCTCAACTGTAACATGGAGATAATGATAGCACTTACCACCCAGCATTGTTGTAAGGATAAAATGAGATATTTTAAAAGTGCTTTGCAAACCCTAAGGCACTATGTAAAAGCGATTATTATTAAGAGCAGGGACTGTTTGTTGCCTTTTTGCCTTTGTACCCCCCAGGGCTTGGCAAAATGTTTCATGCTTAGTAGCACTTAATGTGAAAGGAAGCCTGGTATAGTAGTAGAAAACCTGTTTCAGAGTCAGGAGCACCTGGAGGCCAGAACCCCCTTATGACACACACCAGCTGTGAGACTCTGAGCAAGCCACCAAACCCCTTAGGACCACCAGGAATTCTCTAAGACTGAAAACAGCAGAACAGTTGCTGGGCTGCATTAAGAGAAGGATATCTTCACTGGGAGCTCCCTATACCCATGAAATCCCAGGCCTGAAAAACCACAGAAGTTGAATTGAATCGTCATTCCTTCCATTGGAGGAAAGTATTTCGATAAACATTAACAATGCTACAGAAATGTAAATTGTTATCATAGGGACTAAGTAGAAATGTAACCCAGGAATCTGGGTACTAAGTCTCCCCATCTCAGGTTTGAAAATGTGGGCAATCCACCCCCCTCCACCCCATCTCCATCCCCAGCTTTCCTGCCTCAGACTCAAAACTCAGATGGAACACTGTTCCCTTAAATGGGGCTAAAAAGGAGGCCCAGAGTGTTGTGTGCAAGCAGCTCTTTCCTGAGTCTTTTCTTTTCTGTCCAATCCTCAAAGCTTTTGTCCAGGGATTCACTCTCCGAACCACAGGTGGGGGATAAAGTTGTGAAATCTAGTCAGAATTCTGCCTTGGGAAAGCTTCCAGGAGAACCCTTTGGATAAGGATTCTACCTGGGCCTGGAGGCTTCCTGTACAGCCTTTTTCTCCAGATAATTGGGAAGTGGATCACATATAGATAGATGATATAAATGATAGATGGAAAAGCATCAGTAGGCACAGCTTTCAGAAACTCGTTTCTCAGAGTTGCTTCAGTCTCCTATTGGGGTGGTCAGCTTCAGAAGACACTGAGAGACAGGAAGCTCCCTCTTGGTGAAGAGGTGCAAAGGATGCCTACCCTTCCTCCGGGTAGCTGAATATGATCAAGGTCCCCAACGCCACAGCACACAATGCATTGGGGAGACAGCTGCCCATACATACCCTCACAAATAACAGCTACAAATTTCTGAGCTGGTGATCCAGTCTGAGGGTCAACCCTTCCTGACATAAGTGGTGTCAACAGGACATGTTGGGCATGGGCATGGGCCTACACCCCGGAGAGTAACCTGGGGCTTTATTAGCACTTCCCCAGGGCTGGGTGGAGGAAGCTTGGACCCTCTGCCAATTCTGCATGGTGAGCTCAGGCGACATTCCCTATCTGTGACCCATTTTTGTGGTCCTTGCTAAGGGAAGGAAAGGAAAAGAGAAGGGGTATGGGGAAAGAGAGGAGAGAAGAGAAGGGTAGAGAGGAGAGGGCAGAGGGAAGGGAGGGAGAAGAGGAGGAAGAGAAGAGGCAAACTGGCAATTCTGCAGCTTATACAGGGATGGGAGGGAGGCTCCAAGTAATAACTTAAGGGATGATCTGTGGATTTCATTTATCTGTACACAGATACCCAAGACTTGGCTGCGTTCCCATCTCCCAAACTCCTGGACAGTTTCAAGCTGCCCAGACTCCACAGCAGCTTAAGCAAAGCTAGTAAGTTCTGGAGAGGGCCGCCAGCTGTAAACCCCTGTGTTAACTGAACCCAGGCCATCCCAGGAAACTCCTCCTTTCTGGAATACAATGCCATTGTCCCTTATCAGAGACTCAGAACGGCAGGTCTAGACGGGCCCTTAGTGCATATGATGTCAAAGCTAGAAAAGATCTTATGACTAGAATATGGAATGGCAGAGCTAGAAGGGAACTAAGAAACCTTTCATGCTGGGAAAACTGAGGACCAGAAAGAGAAAATGACTTTCTCAAGATCACATAAGGAATTAAGTCGGAGAACAGGGGTTGGAGACCCTTGTTGTCCTGAATTCCATCTCAGGACTCAGAAAGAAAAAAGATCACATCAGCAATGGTTCTGGGACTTTTCCAGTCTCAATTTCCATTTGTCATCCTCTCTCCCGCCTTAAGCTTATAGGTTAGAAACCATCTCTGAGCCAGAACAATTTCGGCTTTTCTTAGTGCTTTGAGGCCTGCTCACTGAACTGATTTGCCTTGTAATATTCCCTGGGTACCCTCCAGGGCTGGTGAGACAAGAGGGACCAAATGACCACAAAAGGATTCCCTATTATAACATACCTCACAGGGGTCAGACTCAAAGCAGCAGCCGGTATAGCCAGCCAAACTCCCAAGAGCCATAGAACCAGATTAAAATGTAATTGAGAAATGTTAAACAAAATAAATAAACAATATAGATAATGTCATTTGTGGTTTTTAGGTCAATATGCCCCAAAGAAATCTATTTCTATTTGAGTTTGACCCTGCCAACATACTCTATAAATGGTCATCTAGCCTCTACTTGAGGACCTCTGAGAAAGGAGAACTCACCACCTCCTGAGAGGCAGCGCATTCCACTTTGAGACAGCAATAATTGTTGAAAAAAATTTTCTTGACATTGAGACTAAATTTCCCTCTTCATAATTTCCACCCATTGCTCTTCATTCTGTGGCCAAACAGAACAAATCAAATCCCTCCACCATGTGATAGACATTTCAAATAGTTGAGTCTTTTCCAACCTAAATATCCAGTTTTTCCAGCCAATCCTCATAGGATATGGACCCAAGGACCTTCTCTGGTCGTTTTCCAGTTTATCAATATCCTTTTGTTTTTAATCAATGTCCTTCTCAAACCATGAATACAACATTTCATATGAGATCTTACAAGAGGATAGTGCAGTGAATTTCTCACCTCCCAATTCCTAGAAGCTGTCACTATCAACAAAGCCCAACATTGCATTAGATTTTATGACCATTAGACTCTGAGTTCCTTGAGAACAGGGACTGTCTTTTACCTTTCTTTATATGCCCAGGGCTTAGGAGAGTGCCTACAGTAGATGCTTAATAAATGCTTATTGCCTGACTGACACATTGCTTACTCGTATCGATCGTGGAGTCCACTAAATGCCACAACTTTTTTTTCAGACTAATTTCTGTCTATCCATGCTTCCCCCATCTTATGTTTGGGTAGTTGGCTTTACATTATCAGTCATTGCATTTATCACAAATTGATTTCGTCTTATTAAATTCAACCCAATGTTCCAGCCCATTGATATCCTTTCGGATCTCTTCTCTGTCTTCCACTGTTAGCTCTCCCTCCCAGCTTAGTGTCATCTGCAAACTTGATGAACAGAAGATCTTTCCCTATATCCAAGATTAAAATGGTAAACAGGACAAGCCAAACCCACATTCCTGAGGCACTCCATTGGAGATCTCTTGCCACACTAACGTTGAACCATTAACAATGACCCCCTGAGCCTGGCCATCCAACCAGTTCTGAATCCCTCTCATTGTATTATTGCCTAATCCATGCCTCTCTATGTTCTCCACAAGAATGAAATACTTTACCAAAAGCTTTGCTAAAATCTATGTAAATTAAATCCATAGTTTAGTAAATCTGTCTAGTCTAGTAAACCTATCAAACAAAGATTTAAAGTTGGTTTTTTGATGATTTGTTCTTGATGAGCCATGCTGGCTCTTGGTAATCTCTGTTTCCCTTTCTAGATGTTGACAACCATCCCTTTAATGATCCATTCTAGGATTTTCCCAGGAATCAAAGTCAAGTCCATTGACCTATAGTTTGCAAATTCTGTTCTTTTTTTTTTCTTTCTTTCTTTTTTTAAGAATCAGGTCAATAGTTGCCCTTCTTTAATCTTATGGTACCTCTTCCATTTTCCAAGATCTTTAGCCAAACCTTCCCTTCTTCCTATTACCATTAAGGGTACTACCACCCTCCCATTCTCCCAAGATTGGTGTCATCATTGTCTCCTCACTCACATTCATCTCAAGTATCCAATCTGATGTTAAATCTTGTCATTTTTACCTTCAGGTGTTACAGTGGATAGAGTGTTAAGCCTGAAGTTAAAAAAGATCTGAGTTCAGATGTGGCCTCCTGAGCAAGTCACTTAACCTCTGCCTCAGTTTCCACATTTGTAAAATGGGAATAGTAATAGTACCTACCTCCCAAGGTTGTTGTGAGGATTAAAAGAGATAATAATTATACAATGTTTAGCATAGTGCCTGGCACATAGAAAGTACTACATAAATGTTAGCTATTATTATTGTTACTGTCATTATTATCTCTCATCTAAGTCTCTTCTCCACTTACAGAGCCTCCACCCTAATATAGACCTTCATCATCTCTTGGCACATGTATTGCAATAGCCTTCCAATTGTTCTTCCTACCTCAAGACTCTCCCCACTCCAATCAATCCTCCACTCAGCTGCCAGAGTGAACTTACCTAAAATACAGGTCATGTCCCACCCCACCCCCAACTCAATAAACTCCAATCACTCCCTATTACCTCCAGGATCAAATATAAAATTCTTAGTTTAGCATTTAAAGCCTTCTACAACCTGGCCCCCTCCTACATTTCCAGATTTCTTACCTTTACTGCTCTCTACCCACTCAACAATCTAGCTACACTGACCTACTACTCCTCACAAAGGACACTCCATCTCCTGACTCCATGCATTTCCCCAGCTGCCCCTCATGCCCTTCATCCCTTCTCTTGGCCTCCAAGCTTCCTTCAGGATTCAGCGCAAATTCCACCTTCGGCAGTAAATCTTTACACCCTTCCTTCTCTCTAGTCCCTTTCCTTCGACATTACCATCCATTTACACTGCTCATATTTAGCTTGTACATAGTTATTTGCATGTTGTCTCCTCCAGTAGAATCTGAGCTCTTTGAGGAAAGAAACTCTATTTTTGCCTTTCTTTGTTTTCCTAGCACTGCTTAGTTGGTTCCTGATTCTTACTAAGGGCTTAATAAATGCTTGTTGACTGACTGACTAATGGTGACTCATCAATCACAGCTCCCAGTTCTTTCATGATCTAGGCCAGATGACTTGAATTCATCAGGGCAGCTAGGTGCTCTCCTACTATCTCATTACTTATCTTGGCCCTAAACTCCCTATTAGTCATTTTTGTTTTGTCATTTCCAATTTAAAGGTTAGTTTCCTTTGTAGAGAAGACAAAAACATAAGAATTGAGAAACTCTGTCTTCTCTCCTTTGTCAATTTTTGTCATTCGATCTGCCCCAAGCAAGGGGCTCTCTTTGATCTTCCTTTTCCTTCCAATATAGCTTTGAAAAAAAAACACCTTTTGTTGTCCTTAACTTCCACCATCAGCCTCAGCTTATTCTGAGTTTTAGAACAGGCTTCCTATTGTTCTTCCTTCCTCAAGACTCTCCTCACTCCAATCCATCCTCCATTCAGCTGCCAAAGTGAATTTTCCTAAAGTGCAGGTCTGACCATGGTACTCCCAACTCAAGAAACTCAATAAAGTCTCCCTACTGCTTCCAGGATCAAATATAAACCTCTCACATTATTTTTATAGGACCGTGCTATGCTGTCATATTCACCTCCTTTTTATCTAGCCTTTATTTTCTGTAGATTTCTTTTTAAAATCTCAATTAGTTAGTGAGTTCCCTGTGCATCAACATCTGTCTTTAGACAAATTCCATTTTTTTCCCTTTTCATTGAAATAGTTTCCTTTATGTCTTCATCATTTCATTCTTCCGCCTCTTCCATCCTTCCTGAGTTGATTTTCCCTGCTCTGTAAGGCTCTGCCTGTCTTTCCTCTGAACCTTTTAAAATCTACTTTCCCAAAGCCTAGGATGCTTTCTAGACTATTCTCAGATTTCCTCCCCTCAATTACAAATCCTAGGAAGGAGTGATCACTGTCTCCCAGAACTCCCATCATTCCCATCTCAGCAACCAGTTCTTTCTTATTAATGAGAATCAGATTCAGAACACAATCTCCCTTTATTGGTTCTTGTACTTTTTTTTCTTTTTAGGCACTTGGGGTTAAGTGACTTGCCCAGGGTCACACAGCTAGTAAGTGTCAAGTGTTTGGTCTGAGGCTGGATTTGAACTCAGGTCCTCCTGACTTCAGGGCCAGTGCTCTATCCAATGCACCACCTAGCTGCCCCTTGGTTCTTGTACTTTTTGAAGGAGGAAATTATCATTATGACAATTCAAAAGTTATCATATGCTCTGCTTTTGGCAGAGACAGCTTGGACAATTGAAGCTCCCCATCTCAACTATATGATACCTCTGCTGGATTTTCATCTATTTCCCAAATTTCTTATCTATTTCTTCTTTCTATCCAAGTGATCTGTAGCATTCTCTGATGACAAAAATCCCCTTCTCTTTCAAAAATCCCTTTTTACTTTCACCCAAATACTCTCCATCTCATCTCTTCCCTCTGGTTCTTGGATTTCCTCACGAGTATACCTACTTAATAGACAATGCTACTCTACACCCCATTCCCTTTTACCTATCCTGTTTCTTCTGTAAAAGCATACCTAACCAGAGCCATCATCCAGTCATAGATTTCAACCCACCAAGTCACAGTAATTCCTATGAACTCACATTTGCCCTTTTGTGTTAGGACTTCAAGTACATCTTGTTTGTTACCTTAACTTTGGACCTTTGTGTATAGACACTTGAGGCCATGGGTTTTAATGCTGGTTAATTTTTTGGATTTTGTCTTCTATGAATGTCTAGGTGTCTCCATTGTTATTCCTTTTCTTTTCTTTGCGGGGTGGGTTCTTCTATATCCATAATATTTAGTTCCATAACAGCATGCTTGCCTGCGTTCTGGATTATGATGATGTGAAGCAGGTTTATGTGTTTGCTTCCATGCTTTTTTTTTTAAACAGAATTTTTTTTTTTTTTTGGTGAGGCAATTGGGGTTAACTGACTTGCCCAGAGTCACACAGCTAATGAGTGTTATATGTTTCTGAGGCCAGATTTGAACTCAGGTCCTCTTGACTACAGGGCCAGTGCTCCCATGCATTTTTTTTAGCATAATGTCTTCAGTGATGTTGTCAGACATCTCTAATGAAGACAAAAAAAGGTATCAAGGTCAGCTACAGCACTGATGGTAAATTTTTGAACTTGAAAAAGCTAAAAGCCAAGACAAAAGTGGAGGGAGAGTTGTTACATGACTTTTTGTTTACTGATTTTTTTTTTTTGTGCAAACAATGCAGCCTCTGAAGCTGAGATGCAACAAAGTGCAGATGGATTCTCTGCTGCTTGTGCTAATTTTGCCTGACAACACCAGAAAAATAAAGGTTCTCCACCAGTCAGCATCACACCATCAGTGATAGCAAATAGAGAAATTATGAATGCTGTGGATAAGTTCACTTACCTTGGCAGAAAACTTTCCAGGGACGTACACACAAATGATGAGATTTATACACACATTTCCAGAGCTAGCTTAGTGTTTGGGAGGCTCTAAAGGAAAGTGTGAGAGAGAAGTGTTAGACTGCTTACCAAACTGAAGGTCTACACAGCCATTGTGCTGACTTCATTATTGTATGCTGTGAAATCTGGACAGTCTACTAGTGCCATGCCAGGAAACTAAACTGCTTCCATTTGAATTGTCTTAGTAAGATTCTGAAGATCACCTGGTGAGATAAGGTACTGGACACTGAGGTCCTTTCTTGAGCTAAACTGCCAAGCATTCAAACTTTACTGCAGAGAGCACATTTCTGATGGGCTGGCCATGTTGTTGGAATGTCAAATGTATGTTTGCCTAAAACACTATTTTATGGAGAACTCACACAAGGTAAGTGCTCACATGGTGGTCAGAAAAAGTGATACAAGGATACTCTCAAGGTATCTCTGAAGAACTTTGGAATGGATTGAGACATGGGAGGTACTGGCACAGGACCACCCAGCATGGCATGCCCTCATCAAAGAAAGCTCTGTGCTCTATGAGCAAAGCAGAATTTCAGTAGTTCAAAAGAAACAAGAGATGTGCAAATTTAGAGACATCTCTATTCCAAATGTTCATGTGAATTTTTTGTGCCTCACCTGTGGTAGAACCTTCTGAGCTCATATTAGTCTGATCAACTACAGTCAGACACAGTATATTAACCCCAACATAGTGATGTCATTTTGATCCTCTTTGTTTACAAAGTACAACAACCACCATCTATTATATTTAATTTGGGTGATATACATAGGCAGTCTTCTCTTTATTCCATCCCTTTCAGTGTCAAGCCTTTTTCATTAGACCTTTAAGACACCTGGCAAACCAACCTTTTGTTAGGTGTGGTCAGAAGTCTGCCAACACTATATTGTATGCCAAAATCCAAATCCCATTTTTAGACACCTCGGCCAGTTCTTCAATTCCCAGTTTAATTTTACTCTTCTGTATCCTTTGCCTTCAATGGGCAACAGTGAGTAAAACCCAGCTTCTGTCCTTATGGTCTTCAGTTTCCTGTCTCACAGTTCACAATTAATAACACTGCCTTTTAGGTTCTTTCTGAAAGTCCATTTGCACCCATGGGAACCATCGGGAGTAAACAGTTTTCATCCTTTTTTGGTAAGTCTCAGGAGATTCTTTGTTATAAAACTGCTCTCTCCAAAGTTACTAATGACCTCTTAGTTGCCAAATCCAATGGCTTTTCCTCAATCTTCAGCCTCCTTGGTCTCTCTGCAGTCTTTGACACTGTTGATCACTCTCCCCTCCTTGATACTCTCTTCTCTCTAGGTTTTCAGGATATCACTCTCGCCTGGTTCTCCTCCTTCCTATCTGGTCACTCCTGCTCTGTCTCCTTTGCTGGGTCCTCATCAAGATCACACCCTCTAACTGTAGTTGTTCCTCAGGATTCTGTCCTGGGCCCTGTTCTCTTCTCCCTCTAATACTTCTTCACTTATTGATCTCATCAACTCCCATGGATTTCATTACCATCTCTATGTTGATGATTCTCAAATCTACCTTTCCTGCCCCATTCTTTCTGCTGACCTCCATTCTCACACCTCCAATTGCCTTTCAGACATCCCAAACTGGATGTCCAGTAGACCTCTGAAACTCAATATGTCTAAAACCAAACTCATTATATTTCTCCCTAAGTCCTCCCTACCTCCTACCTTCTCTGTTACTGGAGAGGCAATACCATCTTCCCAGTCCCTCAGGTTTACAAACTAGATTCCTCACCTTGCATCCTGGATTCCTCACTATCTGTCATTCCCCCATACTCAATCTGTTGCCAAGGCCTGTTGACTTCACCTTTGCAACATCTCTGTAATATCTCTCTTCTTGACACTACCACCTCCCTAGTACAGACCCTCATCACCTCACAGCTGAACAATCATAATAGCCCCCCTGACTCAAGTCTCTCCCCACTCCAATCCATCCTCCATTCAACCACTAAAGTGGTTCTCCTAAAACACAGGCCTGATCATCTCTCTCTCTCTCTCTCTCTCTCTCTCTCTCTCTCTCTCTTACACACACACACACACACACACACACTTAGTAAACTCTGGTGGTTTCCTATTGCCTTCTGGAGCAAATACAATATGCTCTGTTTTGCATTCAAAGCCCTTCATAACCTAGCCCCCTCCTACTTTTCCAGTCTTCTTTCATCTTTCTGCCGAAAACGTACTCTTTAATGCCATGACAATGGTCTCCTTCTTGTTCCACAAACAAGACATTCAAACTCTCAGTTCTGGACATTTTCTCTGGTCATCTCCTCCACGCCTAGAACACTCTCCCTCCTCTACTCTCACTACTGACCTCCCTGGCTTCCTTTAAGTCCCAACTAAAATTCCACCTTCTACAGGAAGCCTTTCCAACCTCTCAATTCCAGTGTCTTCTCTCTGTTAATTATTTTCTATTGACCTTGTGTATAGTTTTTATATATTTGTTTGCATGTTGTCTCCCCCAGTAAATTATAAGCTCCTTGAGAATAGGGACTATGGGGGCAGCTAGGTGTCTCAGTATATAGAGCACCAGCCCTAAAGTCAGGAGGACCTGAGTTCAAATCTGGCCTCAGACCAAACACTTGACACTTACTAGCTGTGTGACCCTGGGCAAGTCACTTAACCCCAATTGACTAAAAAAAAAAAAGAGAGAGAGAATAGGGACTATCTCTTTTGCTTCTTTTTGTATCCCCAGAGCTTAGCACAGTACCTGGTACTTAGTGAACACTCAATAAATGTTTATTGATTGACTGATTGATTATGTCTTGGATTCAAGAACCAAAAAGACAAGAGACCACTCAATTGTTGTTTTTAGGTCAACAAATAGCTGCCTTGGTACTGAGAAGACTATGGTTGATCCTGTATTATTTTCTTATTAATCCTATTTACAATTCATTGATTTTGTCCTGTAATTACTTAAGTCCTCGTTATTTGTTGCGTTCAGTTGGCCTGTAATGGGTTAAATTTTTAAATCTAGCTTTCTTGCCTCAAGGAATTTTGCTAACCTTGGAAATGTGTGAACAGAAAGGGAGTTGGGCTTGATATTTCACACTACCATGCTATCCTTCAAGGATGTCTGATTTGCTGTCCAAAAGTCTGGGCCACGATCTCACACTGTCACTCAAACAAAGAGCACTTCTTAGTCTCATGAGATAAAAAGGGGGGGTCATTGCTAGCCCCATTATCAAACTTCCAACCAATCATGTTTTCTTCACCTTAGCTGTGTAACCAATCATGTTGCCCTTGATTCCATGATGTCATCCACCTTCTTCTGTTCTTTGTTCTGTACTCCCCAAACTCTATAAAAGGGGAACTGTCTTCTTGCTCAGGGTCTTTGGCATTAATGAAGGTGAGCCATTGACCCATTTATTGATAGGTAGCATACCCCTGCTAAGAAATGTTATCTTTCTTGGAGATCTACCTCAGCTTGCCGTTTTGTTAAAATCTCAATCACGACAGTTCCCCCTGAGCAGGGAATCACCAACCATTCTTCTCCTCTTCTTCCTCTGCCCCTGCCTGAATGATCTCATTCCTGACAGTTTCTGTAGTACTACCTTATTATTGCTGGGAAGAAAAGTAGTCTCTCTCCTCAGAGCATCCAGCTCCATCCTCTTCAAGTTGCACCTTCAGTCTCTTTTAAGCTCTAATTGCATATGTCCTATTCCTTCTCTTTCTCCTCTGTGTAACACTCTTCCATTCTCTATCCCCCTCCTCCACCTCAAACCCTTTTTTCTCCATTGAAGCTTTCCTTTTGTTTCCTTTAGAGGCCCCTTCATTCTTCCTAACAACATGGAGTACAGAGAGATGTTCTTGTCTCTTCACCCTTTTTCCTTCGGGAGGGAGATCAGCCCACACTTAGAACACAGATAATAGTCACTTAACTGTGGCAGAAATACAAAAGTGGTAAACTTGATGCTAGTCACTGCACAGTTTCTGCTACCATCCATAATGGTTGAGGTTTTAGCCTTGTTCCTTGAAACTACTTGTGGGTGCTTATGCCCCAACCCTAAGTACCTCAGTGAAATTTTTTATATCCAATTATTAATTTTTAAAAGTAAAACTTTTATGTCCAATTATTAATTTTAAAAGTAAAACTTTTAACATCCAATTATTAATTTTTAAAAGCTAAAACTCTTTAACAACCAACTTGTTCCAACCCTTAATCCAATCTATCAATTTACTTAACTCTCTATTTGTTCCATGTACCTTTTCTTACTTACCTTACCTTGTCTCTCCAACTACTTTCTCCTTAACCCTGAATCTACCTCTTCGGGTTCTAACCCCTACCCTCTAATTCTCTGTTATACTCTTTAATCCTTGTATATTTTCTTTAATTGTCCTTGATCTTACTTTTCTTAGACTCTGGACCATAATTTGCATCTAGAGATTCTCCTCCTTCAAATTTCCCCTCAACTTTGACAATTTTCTCCTCCCCAAATTTAATTTCTGACCTACTTCACTAAATGAGACTCTTCCTAGATATCTACGTGATTTTTTTTATGTACATGAATCTTCATGATTTTCTTATGTGGCTCAAGTCCTCTTTTCTCCTGTTTCTTTCTGGCCTCCCGCAAGCCAGAATTACATCTGCTTGGGGGGTTTTCCCCCATGCTTCTACTTCTATTGGTATATCTACTTATAGCTGTCCTCTCCACTCACAATTTAGAATTCATTGCTTTTAACCTTCAGTAGGCTTCAAAAACAGTTATCCAAGCTTGGTAGAATTATTTGGATAAAGGAGAATCACTGTTTTGTAAGTGCAGCCAACAATGCACATCATAAATTTGGATCTACATATCTTTATCTCTATACATAAAGATATACATCTTTATATCTATGTGTGTATATATGCACATATATAATAGATAGGTAGATGGATAGATAGATAGATCTTTATGAGTTTTTTTTTTCAGATAAGACAGCCATTAAACCCAAATGTCTAAATAAACTGACTATTGAATGATAATGTGTTAAACCAAGGGAGGCGGGGTGGGATGGAGGCTATGCTCTTCTATCATTACAGTGCAGGGATTTTAAGATATATGACATTAATTTTCACTACTTGGAAACCTATTTTGTTTTGGCTTTCCAATTCTTGTCTAGCGCCTACTTCCCAGGCTTGTTGTGAGGATCAAATAAGATAATAATTATAAAGAACTTAGCACAGTACCTAGGACATAGTAGGTAAATGTTAGTTGCTGTTATTAATATTGTGATAATTATTATTATTGTGCATAGACCAGGGTTCCAAAGAACTGTGACCTGGATAGGGTTTAACTATCATTTCTATGCAGATGACTCCTAGACCTACATATCAAGGCTAAGTCTCTCACCTGAACCCTAGTCTCGAATTATCAGTTGCTGTTGGATATTTGAAACTGGATGTCCCAGGGATATCTTAAACACATCTTCAAAAATGAACTCATTATTTTTCCTCCTAAACTCTTTCCTCTTTCAAACTTCTCAATTCTTGTCAAAGACATCACTATCTATAAATCCTCAAGCTCCCTCACACCACAAGTCCAATCAGTTGCCCAAACTTGCCCAAACTTTATAACTCCTCTCTCAAAGACCCCTTTTCTCCACCTTAGTTCAGGCCCTCATTACCTCTTCCTAGATCACTGCAACAGCCTCCTTCCTCATTGGTCGGTGCCTGGGTCTCTCCCCTTCTAGTCCATCCACCACACAGCTGCCAAGGAAATTTTCCTTAAGCTGTAACCTGACCGTGAAAGTCCCCTACTCAACCAACTCCAATGACTTCTTATTGCCTCTAGAATAAAACATAAACTCCTTTGTTTAGCTCTTAAAGCCCTTTATAATCTTGTCCCAACCTATATCTTCAGCTTTATTAAACACTACACCCTCTCCCATACTTTGCAAGGCAGTGAATATCTCTCTCTGTCTGTCTCTCTCTGCCACTGTCTCTCTCCTCTCTCTCTCTCTGTCTCTGTCTCTCTCCTCTCTCTCTCTGTCTCTCTCTCTGTCTCTGTCTCTCTCTTCTCTCTGTCTCTGTGTCTCTCTCTTCTCTTTCTCTCTGTCTCTGTCTCTCTCTGTCTCTCTCTCTGTCTCTGTCTCTCTCTTCTCTCTGTCTGTGTCTCTCTCTTCTCTCTCTCTCTGTCTCTGTCTCTCTCTGTCTCTCTCTCTCTGTCTCTGTCTCTGTGTCTCTCCTCTCTCTCTGTCTCTCTGTCTGTCTCTGTCTCTCCTTTCTCTGTCTCTGTCTCTCTGTCTCTCTCTATCTCTGTCTCTCTCTCTCTTCTCTCTCTCCCTCTTCCCCCCTCCCTCCCTCCTTCACAATACTCTATCTCCCATTTCCATGCCTTCACACCGGCCATCCCCCATGCCTGGAATGCACTTCTTCCCTTACCTCTGTCCTCCTCTAAGATGCAACTCAGACCCCATATTGCAGACTCCTGATTCCCCCAAGTGCTGGTGCCTTTCCTCCCAAACTATCTTGTATTTAATGATTTTGTAGTTAAATGTATAATATTATAAATTGTAAATCAATATTATTATAGTATAATAATATAATATGTAATATATTTATTAACTTAGTATTCATACTGCATATATTTTTGTGTTTTCATTGTCTGCTCCCTTAGGACATAAGCTCATTGCAAGTAGGGATCTTTTCACTCTTTGTACTGTGTCTCCAGTGCTTAGCACAGTGCCTGGCACATAGGTGCTTAATAAATGCTTACTGACTGATTGATTGATAGGTATCCTTTCTTCCTTCCATCCTCCTCCACCCAAGGTTTTATCACTGGGCAAAGTCATTCCACCTGTCACAGATTGACTTTCCAACAGTCAGACCACTCCAGAAATGGAAGAGGCTACTGATGATGATAATAATGATAATGGCATTCATTTCCACAGCCCTTTAAAACTTCCAAGGTAAGCCTACCAAAACAATAGGTTGTGTTAGTATTATCATCACCATTTGAAAGATGACAGAACAGACACTCAGAGAGATAAGGTAATTTCCCCAAAGTCACACAGCTAGTAAGGAATTACTGACCTTCCCGTCCTTGGAGGTCTTCCAGCAAAGACTGACTATCATAGAGAGAATTCGGGTACCATTAGAGTTTGGCCTTGATAACTGTCTCAAGGAAAGCTCTTTGTATGTTCTATAATGCTATGGAAATATGAGTTAATATAATGGTTGACTTTTAATATCCCTCCCAACTCTGAGATTCTATGAAGCCAAGACGCTCAGACCCCTGGATTACAGCAACCTTAATCACTTACAGCCTCCCACTCCCCAAAGGAAAGCATGTGAACCAACTTCGGTAACATTCCATTCCAGTTTGAGGGTTGGGGGAGATATACAAACAGTCTTTTTTTTCCCCACATTCCACATATGGCCTAGAGCTGGTGCAGGGCCTGGAGGAGGAGAAGGAGGGGAAGTGGTTACCGTTGCCAAGTGGGCGTTAGTGCCAACCTCACACATTTACCGCTTGCCCGCCTGTTGCCACCTGCTGTGCAGAGCACCCTCAGCTCCCCTGATGCTTGGAAAGCCATGGCTCAGACCCAGGAAACAGCAACAGGAGGGGCAGAGAACAGGGCTTTAGAGTCAGGGCAATGCCACACGGGCAGTAACTACCTTTGAGGGCTCAACCGTTTCCTCCCCCACTTACCAGATTCAACTGAGCTCTGCTTTCCACTTAGTAAAATATGGTGACGACAGTAGTTCCCAATTATATAATGCATTAAGGTTTACAAGGCATCTTCCCCATAACAACTCTGTAAGGTAGATAATAGGAAAATTAGTAATCCTCTTTTCTCAGAAAAGGAAACTATTTCAAAAGAAGGAAGTTCTATGCCCAGGGTCGCTCAGCTTAGTAGGCATCATCACTAGAACTCAACTTTTTGCTCCTAAGGCCAGTGTTCTTACCATACTGCCTTGTATTTAAAGTTTTTGGTTGGCTATCTGACATAAAATCCATCTTTTTTAGCACCAATAGATTTCCAGTGATGTGACTCAAACCCCCACAATCTGCAAAAAAAAATTAAAAAATAAAAATGGTGGGTGGCCAGAAAGACAAATGAGAGATGCATGCCTGAATGAATGAAAAGCGCTTATTAATCACTTACTATATGCCAAGCACTGTGCTCAGTACTAGGGATAAAAATTTAAAAAAAAAGAAGGAAGTCTCAGCTCTTAAGCAGCTCACACTCTAATTAGGGGCTAGAACCTGTGCAAGAAAGGTCAGATGCAAAACAGATAGAAAGACCCAGAAGTCCTCAGGGTGCAGGGGTGGGGTGGGTAGCAAGGCCCAGATGCCCTTAGGTTATATCAGTAGGTCGATAACAGTGCCAGAAGGCTGCAGAATGTAGAGAAAGGGCAGTGGTGTGCTAGTAAAGTTTAACAACCAGCTCTCCAAAAAAAAGACCCAGTTTTACATTTAATCAGCATTACATACATTTTCTCCCTCACTTTCTTAAGTCTAAACAATCAACAAAACAATAAACCAAGCCCTGATTTGTAGCATTTGCCAATTTCTGAAGGGTAATAGCTCACATTGAAAATTTGACATAAATATCCTATGAGCAGTCAAGCAATGTAGATAAAGGGTGAAACCAAGGGAAGAGTGCACCCCCAGTGGTAGTAAATCTTCTGCCACATCTGGATAGCTTCTGAAAGGGCTAAGTAAACTTCAGGCTTACCAATAATGATTTATGCATCTATCTATGTGTGTATGTATATGTACGTGTGTGTGTGTGTGTTATTTATGTATATGCTTTTATGTATATACTATATACTCTGTTTTATATATTATATATATATAGAGAGAGAGAGAGAGAGAGAGAGAGAGAGAGAGAGAGGGCAGCTAGGTGGCAAGGGGAATAGAGTGTTGGGCCTGGAGTCAGGAACAACTGAGTTCAAATCCGGTCTTAGATACTTCTGAGCTGTGTGACCCTGGGCAAGTCACTCAACCCTCAGTTCCTCATCTATAAAGATCTAGAGAAGGAAATTGCAAAATTTTATATATATATGTGTGTGTGTGTATGTATATGTATATATATATACATACATACACACTCTATCCACTGTGCCACCTAGCTGCCCTGTGAAATATATATGCATAAATTATACGTAAGTATATAAATGTAAATAAGCATATACACATACACATAATCCTAGATCTGTGATTTATCAGTGTAAGGCTCTTCCAGAACGTAAACTCCCTACACTGATGCCCACTAGCAAGTTATCTGTAACAGTCAAAAAATTGTCTAGGGCCCTGTGAAATTAAGTCCCATAGTTACACAGCTAATATGTGTCAGAGCCAGGATTGGAAAGCAAAATGTTCCTTACTTCAAGCCAGCTCCCTATCCACACTGGCACACTACCTTGTGTAAAGAATTTCACCCATGATTTCATTAGAGAAGGATGTATCAAGAATGAAAGACAAGAGGAAGATAGTCTGAGGGCTGCCATGGTTTGGTCTAATACCACCGACATTAAAAATATCGAAGATTGATGGGAAGATAGAAATAAGAATCACACAGAATGAGAAAGTGTGGACAGGTTTCAATCAGCATCCTTGGAGGGAGGACCCACATCAATGAGATCTCAGCTCCATTAAAGTTTACCCAGGGTCCTAAAGAAAATCTTGAGCCACGTTCACCCAACTCAGATGAACTCTTGGGCACTCGTTCTGCTCTGCACAGATGAAACAAATATTCGAAGAGTCTGGGACCTGTACCTCCTACCAAAGATCAGCAAAGTCTCTCCACTCAGAAATGAACTTAGCTCAACATCCAAGGTCCTCCAGCAGTCAAAGAATACTTACCATTTTAAGAAATTTTAATAAAATTTAATAATATTTAAAATGATTTAAAATTAGTTTTAATAAAGTTTAAAATAATTTAAACACAAAAAAGCATTTATCAAGCTCTTATTATGTGCCAACACTATGCTAAGAGTTGGAGATACAAAGAAAGGTAAAAATAGTCCCCATCCTCAAGTAGCATACATTCTAAGTTGGAAGACAATATGTAAATAATTCAATACATGCAAGATATACTCAGAATAGATGGAAAGTAATCTCTGATCTACCACACTTGCAACAGCTGGGAGGACTGGGAAAGGCCTTCTGCAGAAGGTCGGCTTTGAGCTGAGTCTTGAAGGGAGCCAAGAATCAGTAGAGCTGAGATTAGACTCCAGGTCCTCTGGTTCCTCCAAATCCAGCATTGTTGCCACTACACCAGCATACCTTAAGTTGTCTGCCTTTTGCCTCTCATCTGCAATATTTTTCTTCCCAAGGTCTTCCCCCTTTCAAAGTTCCTCCATAGCAGCTTCCCTGGTCCTAAAGAAGGAACTCTCACAGCACTTTGTACTTCTGTAATGGTACTAAGTGTATGTGAAAAACACCTTAAAGCACTCTATGATTTCTCCTTCCTTTCTCTCCCTCTTTTCTTCCTTCCTTCCTTTCTTTCTTTCCTTTCTTTTCTTCCTTACAAATTCACTTTGGCAGCTGAATGATGGATGGATTGGAATGAGGAGAATCTTGAGGCAGGAACAACTTGAGGCAGGAAGACTATTGCAAGAGATGATGAGGACCTGTACTAAGGTGGTAATTATGTGAGTGGAAAGGAGACATATGAGAGATGCTGTGAAGGTAGAATCTACAACACTTGGCAATAGATTGGATATGAAGGGTAGAGTGAGAAGGAGCGAGGAGTCGAGTATAACACTGAGGTTGCCAAGCCTCAGTGACTGGGAGAATGGTGTTGCCTATGATGCTAACAGCTACCAAGAGGAGAAGGTCTGGGAGAGAAAGATGAGTTCTGGTTTGAATCTGTTACATTTGAGATGGCTACACAACCCCCAGTTTGAGATGTCTAAAAGGGAGTTGTTGATGGGAGACTAGATCCCAGGAGAAAGGACAAAACTGGATGTCTAGAACTGTGAATCATCTGCATAGAGCTTGATTGTTGATCCCATGGGAGCTGATGACATTATCACGTGATAAAGCATAAAAGAAAAAGAGAAGAGGGTCTAGGACAGAGCCTAAGAGGAGACCCACGATTAGGATCAGTTAGGCAAGTAAGTGGAAATCAAGGAGAGAGAGATGTCATGAAAATCTAGAGAGAAGAGAGTATCTAGGAGAAGACAGTGCTGAGAGGTCAAGGATATTGGGAAGATTTTTTTAAATTAATTTATTTTGATTTATCAACAATCACTTCCATAAGCTTTTGAGTTTTAAATTTTTCACCCCCTCTCTCCCCACCTCCCTCCCCAAGAGGGTGTTCAATCTGATATAGGCTCTACATATACATTCCTGTTAAACATATTTTCACATTAGTCATGTTGTAAGGAAGAATTAGAACCAATAGGAGGAACCACCAAAAAGAGGAAACAAAACACAACAGAAGGAAAAAAATAGCAAATAGTATTTTTTTTTTGATCTGCATTCAAACTCCATAGTTCTTTCTTTGGATGTTGATAGTATTTTCTATCATAAGGTCTTTGGAGATCCTTGTATTGCTGAGAAGGGTTAAGTTTATCAATATTAGTCATCGCCCAATGTGGCTGTTATTGTGTACAATGTTCTCCTGGTTCTGCTCACTTCATTCAGCATCAGACCATACAAGTCTTTCCAGGTTTTTCTGAAGTCAGCCTGTTCATCATTTCTTATAGCACAATAGTATTCCATTACATTCATATAGCACAACTTGTTCAGCCATTCCCCAGCTGATGGGCATCCTCTCAATTTCCAATTCTTTTCCACCACAGAAAGAGCTGCTATAAATATTTTTGTACATGTGGGTCCATTTCCCATTTGTATGATCTCTTTGGGATACAGCCCTAGAAGTGCTATTGCTGGGTCAAAGGGTATGCACATTTTTATAGCCCTTTGGACATAGTTCCAAATTGCTCTCCAAAATGGTTGGATCATTTCAGAACTCCACCTACAATGCATCAGTGTTCCAATTTTCCCACTATCTTCTCCAACATTTATCGTTTTCCTGTTTTGTCGTGCTGGCCAATCTGATAGGTGTGATGTGGTACCTCAGAGTTGTTTTAATTTGCATTTCTTTAATCAATAGTGATTTAGAGCATCTTTTTCATATGACTATAGATGGCTTTAATTTCTTCATCTGAGAACTGCCTGTTCATATCCTTTGGCCATTTATCAATTGGGGAATGACTTGTATTCTTATAAATTTTTCTTAATTTTCTATATATTTTAGAGATAAGACCCTTATCAGAGACTGGTTGTAAAAATTCTTTCCCAATTTTCTACTTTCCTTCTAATCTTGGTTGCATTGGCTTTGTTTGTGCAGAAACTTTTCAATTTAATGTAATCAAAGTTACCCATTTTGCATTTCGTAATGTAATCTATCTCCTGTTTGGTCATGAATTCTTCTGTTCTCCATAAATCTGATAGGAAAACTATTCCTTGCTCTCCCAGTTTGCTTACAGTATCAGCCTTTATATTAAATCATGAATCCAGACTTTATTTTGGTATATGGTATGAGATTTTGATCTATGCCTAGTTTCTGCCATACTCTTTTCCCGTTGTCCCAGCAGTTTTTGTCAAAGAGTGAGTTCTTGGGGCAGCCAGGTGGTGCAGTGGATAGAGCTCTAGCCTTGGAGTCAGGAGGACCTGAGTTCAAATCTGGCCTCAGACACGTGACACTTACTACCTGTGTGACCCTGGGCAAGTCACTTAACCCCAAATGCCTCACCAAAAAGCCAAAAAAAGAGTTCTTATCCCAGTTGCTGGGGTCTTTGGGTTTGTCAAATAATAGATTACTGTATTCATTGACTACTGTGTCTTGCATACTTAACCTATTCCACTGATCTACCACTCTCTTAGCCAGTACCAAGCAGTTTTGATGATTGCTGCTTTATAATACAATTTAAGATCTGGAATGGTTAGGCAACCTTCCCCTGCATTTCTTTTCATTAGTTCCCTTGATATTCTGGACCTTTTGTTATTCCAAATAAATTTCCTTATTATTTTTTGTAACTATAACATAATTTTTGATAGTTTGATTGGTATGGCACTGAATAAGTAAATTAGC